GATGGATCATGGTTCCATTTGGACTTTGTTTGATCTGTAAGCCTAAGAAGAAGTTAAGCTCACCCATCATACTCATTTCAAACTCACTCCCCATTAATTTTGGAAAATCCTTACTTAGCTTATCAGTGGTGGCCCCAAATATTATGTCATCAACATATATTTGTACCACAAGGAGATCCTTACATTTTTCCCTTAGGAATAAGGTACTGTCAATTTTACCTCTTTTGTAGCCATGTTCAAGCAGAGATTTGGACTGTCGTTCATACCATGCTTTTGGAGCCTGCTTGAGTCCATAGAGAGCCTTGTCTAATTTGTACACATGCTCAGGACATTCCTTGCTCTCAAACCCTGGAGGTTGTTTCACAAACACTTCTTCTTTCAGGTAGCCATTTAAGAAGGCACTTTTGACATCCATCTGATGAAGAGTGAATTCCATGTGTGCTGCAAAGGCTATGAGGAGTCTTATTGCCTCTAGTCTTGCAACTGGAGCAAAAGTCTCATCATAATCTATACCCTCCTCTTGGCTGTAACCTTGGACCACCAGTCTTGCCTTGTTTCTTGTAGCTGTTCCATCTTCAACAAGTTTGTTTCTGAAGACCCATTTTGTACCAATAACTGATCTGTCATTGGGTCTTGGGATTAGATGCCAAACTTGACTTCTTTCGAACTGATTGAGTTCATCTTGCATTGCATTCACCCAATCTGCATCCTGTAAAGCCTCAACAACATTTTTAGGTTCAATAATAGATAGGAAAGCATCAAAAGCACACAGATTCTTTAATTGTGATCTAGTTTTGACTCCAGATGTTGGATCGGTGATTATGTTCTAAATAGGATGAGAACTTTGATACTTGTGAGGTTTCACAACCATCTGGTTTCTGCTAGATGTTTCTCCCATGTTCTGTTGATGAGGAATAGGATCATGAACAGATTCTTTTAGAGGATTAGTTTCAATTCCTCTTTGATCAGTTCCCCCTGTCAGGTTGCCCTGGATGGAAGAACATGTTCCATCACCTGTTCCTTCTTTTGGTGCCACTTTAACTTGTGCTGAGACTTCAATTAAGTCGTTTACCAGTCCAATGGCTTCATCTTCATGTTCCTGTCTCTCAGAAAGAATGTTAGTTTCATCAAACACAACATGCACACTTTCTTCTACACACAAAGTTCTTTTATTGAATACTTTATATGCTTTGCTATGTGAAGAATATCCCAAGAATACTCCCTCATAACTTCTGGGATCAAACTTACCTAGGGAGTCTTTTCCATTGTTGTGCACAAAGCACTTGCATCCAAATGCCCTAAGATGGGATATATTTGGTTTTATCCCTTTAAGTAACTCATAGCGAGTCTTTTCTACAAGAGGTCTAGTCATGCATCTATTTATAATGTAACATGCAGTGTTTACAGCCTCTGCCTAGAAGCTGTGGGGCAGTTTACTAGAAAGAAGCATAGTCCTAGCCATGTCTTCAAGAGCCCTGTTCTTTCTTTCAACTACTCCATTTTGTTGAGGAGTCCTAGGGGCAGAGAAGTTATGATCTATACCATGCTCATCAAAGAATTCAGCAAACTTAGCATTTTCAAATTCAGTTCCATGATCAGACCTAATGGATGCAAGTTGATTACCTAGTTGTTTCTGAGTTTTTCTAATAAAAGCAGTAAACATGTCAAATGCTTCATCTTTAGATGTTAGAAATAGTACCCAAGTAAATCTAGAGTAATCATCAACAAGTACCATCGCATATTTCTTTCCACCTCTGCTCAAGGTTCTCATTGGACCACAGAGATCCATATGAACCAGTTCCAACTTCTTGGTTGTGCTTACCATTTTCTTGCTTTTGAAGGATGATCTTACCTGCTTCCCCCTTGCACAGGCCTCACAAACTTTGTCTTCCTTGAACTTGATGTTAGGTAGTCCTATCACCAAGTCCTTAGAGACTAATTTGTTGAGCAGATTCAAATTTGTATGACCAAGTCTTTTGTGCCGCAGGAGGGGATCATTATCCAACACACTTAGGCAGGTGAGTTCATTTTCTGACAAAGTAGACAAATCTACAATGTAAATATTGTTAACTCTTTTTCCCTGTAAAACATTCTTGTCAGTGATAAGATTAATCACAAAACATTTGGTAGAGGTGAATGCTACAAGGTTACCTCTGTCACACAGTTGTGACACACTGATCAGGCTGTATTTCAAGCCATCTATTAAGTAGACATTCTCAATGGAGTGTGAGTCTGTCTTACCTACCTTTCCAACCCCAATAATCTCACATTTCTTCCCATTACAAAGGAGACATTACCTCCTTTTAAGTCCTCAAGTGAAAAAGAACTGGTTCTTGCTTCCAGTCATATGTTTCGAGCAACCACTATCCATGTACCATATTTGGCTACTTCCCTTCACTTGGACCTCTTGTTCATCATCTGATTCTCCGATGGCCATAAGTGCTTGTTCATCTCCGGCTTCATCTTCTGAGTCCTCATCTGATGTTTCTCCCCAAGCAGCAACCATAGCCTTTGTTGATCCTTTCTTCCTTTTAGATTGGACCTGTTCCTTCTTCCACTCAATTTCCCATTGAGGACAGTTCTTAATCATGTGATCAGTCTTACCATATTTGTAGCAACCCTCATTGGTCTGTTTCTCAGGAACCCTTGGTTTCTTGAAGGTTGTACCTCTTGAAGAACCCTTTCCTCTCATCAGGTACTTTTGAAATCCCTTGTGATCATGGCCATTTCATCATCCTCCAGATCTGAACCTTCGGCTATTCTGAGAGCCAGACTTCTTTCCTTCTTGGGTGCATCCATTTTCATGGTTTGCCTTCTCAGTTCATAGGCAGTGAGGTTTCCAATCAGTTCATCCAGCTTGAGGGTAGCAATGTTCTTTGATTCCTGAATAGCAGCGATTTTGCTTTCCCAAGTCACTGGTAAGACTCTTGTCAAGATTTTCTCAACCTTGTCTTCTTCAAGGATAATTCTTCCAAGAGATTTAAGTTCATTTGTTAGTGTTGTGAACCTTGTGTACATCTCCTGGATAGATTCTCCTTCCTTCATACTAAAATTCTCATATTGAGAATAAAGTAGTGTTCCTCTTGATCTCTTTACTTGAGGAGTTCCTTCATGAGCCACTTGTAAAGTGTCCCATATTTCCTTTGCAGTTGTACAACTTTGAATTCTGCTGTACTCGTTTGGACCCAGTCCACACACAAGCCATTTCTTGGCCTTGGCATTCTTCTCCCATTTCTTCAGATCTTCAGCAGTGCAGTCAGCTCTTGTCTTTGGCACGTCCACTCCTTCAGCATTCTTCTTTGTAGTTGCTAGAGGACCATCAATGACTATGTCCCAGAGTTCATAGTCTTCTCCTATGATGTGATCTCTCATCCCGTTCTTCCACCAAGAATAGTACTGACCATTAAAGAGTGGTGGCCTAGCAGTGGCTTGCCCTTCCCAGTTTCCAGGTGGTGCACTCATTTTGATCTTTTCCTAAGGTGTTAGCCTCTTCAAGGATAACCCGCTCTGATACCAATTGATGTTTTAAACGTTAATGCCACACAAGAGGGGGGTGATTTATGTGGTACCCAATTTTTGCTTAACTACTCTATAGAAGAACATGGTTCTTCTAGGTGTTCCAACTACTACTGTTTGCGGAATAATAAACACTGAAAGTAAAGAACAAAGAGATTTTTTTCGTGGAAAATACCTGGCTCAAAAGGTGAAAAAACCACGACCTACTACTCAGTAGGATTTTCCCAAACTTCCACTAAAATCACTGAGCCAAAACAGCATTTACAAAACTCTTTGTAAACATAAGGATTAACTCTAATCCCGTTGTAGCACACAGCCTCAACTGTTGCGACAACTTCAAGTTAGCTATAACTTGAACACTCTAAGTACCTAATACAATTGCTTCTATGAAAGCTGAAAGGTACAATTTTAAACCACCTACTACAATTGAACTAGAATAAAAGAAAGATACAATGGAATTGATTCTTCTATCTCGTTCAAGTAGCTTCAAGAGTGCACACTCAAATCTCACATAAATTGCTTGCAAAATTGCCTTGCTCTTTTGCTCTCAATTTAGTTTAATTTCTGCGTTTGTGCAATACATGTAAAAGAGAACAATCACTTTTATTTAATAAGTTAGTAATCAGAGTTTGATTGGGACTCAATTGGTGCTCTTCTATCGCAGAAGAGTTCACGATGATATCAAACTCTAACACTATCTTTATCCTGGATTGTGTTCTCTTCATATAAGGAGACTTTTCTCTCCTTATCTAATATGCAACCTTTTTGATCAGATCAGGAGATATTGTTGCTTTATCAGTAGGACTTATCTCCTTTTCACGTGCCTCTCACATGTAAAGGTTGATCATGACTATGCTTCACATGATGGACCTGGTCCATGACTGAGTTCATTTGTCATTCTTCAAAACTTCACCTGTTCTTGGGCAAACAAACTGGAGTATACTCAGATTAATTTGAAGTTTGATCCCTTTAATCAGGATCTGATTGAGAAGGAAAAACAGACCTTGCAGGAACTAGAGAAATGAAGTATAATAGAAGAAAAAGTTCTGAGGCAGAAGGAACGAGTCAACTGGATAGACTATGGGGATTCAAAATCCAAATATTTCTATGCACAGCTGAAGATCAGAGCAAGTAAGAACTCAATTACTACTGTGTATAATGATATGGGAGCTAAAGTCACAAAACCTAAAGATGTAGAAAAAGAATTCATCACCTTTTTTAAGCATCTTATGTGAACTAACATTGGGATCAAGACATGTCTTAATACCAAATTCATCAAAGCAGGAGTGTGCTTATCATTGAAATAACAACAGGATCTAATAAAGGAAGTAACATATGAAGAGATTGATGAAGCAGTGAAAGACATGCCAAATGATAAAGCCCCTGGAGTTGAGGTCTTTCCAATAGAGTTCTTTAAAATGCACTAGGAAGAAGTGAGACAAGATGTATATGATGTTGTATTGTTCTTTGTTCAAACAAGCAAGATGAAGCAAGCATGGAATTGCACAGCCATAACATTGATTCCAAAAGTTCCTGCACCTACAACTGTGAAAGACTATAGACCTATTGCTTGCTGTACTACTGTCTACAAGATCATTGCTAAGATTCGGACTAAAAAGATCAAAAAGGTAATTGAGTGTATAATTAGGAAAGCACGGTCTGCGTTCATAGAAGGGAGGAGCATTGTGGATAATATACTGTTTAGTCACGAGTTGTTCAATGGTTACAGTAGGAAAGGCTTATCTCCAAGGTCTGTACTCAAGGTTGACTTAAGGAAAGCATATGATTCATTGGACTGGCAGTTCCTTAGATCTATGCTCACAGATCTTGGCTTCTCTCAAAAATTCATTGTATGGATAATAGAGTATGTGACAACAGTGTCCTATTCTCTAGTACTGAATGGAGGATTCACTAGACCTTTCCCTGCTAAGAGAGGTATAAGGCAAGGAGATCCAATGTCTCCAATCTCTTTGTTATTGCTGTGGAGTACTTGCAGAGGGAGATGAATCAATTATCTATGCAGAAGGAGTTCAAATTTCATCCAAAGTACAAGAAGCTGGGAGTGACACACATTTGTTTTGCTAACAATTTGTTAATGTTTTGCAGGGGTGACAAGGAAACCTTTAATAGGTTCTCAAATGCATCAGGATTGCAGGCAAGTGCAGAAAAGAGTTCTATTTATATTGTTGGTGTAGCACAGCATATAAAGGAACAACTGATCGAGATTACTGGATATGCAAAGGGTAGTATACCTTTTAAATATCTGGGAGTTCCACTATCTGCACGAAAACTGAACATTCAGCAATGTTTGCCTCTGGTTGAAAAGATTACAGAGAGAGTAAGATGCTGGTCAGCTAGGATGCTTTCATACTCAGAAAGAATTCAACTCATAAAATCAGTGTTATTTGGAATACAAACGTATTGGGCTCAAATTTTCTTATTGCCAAAGAAGATCATGAAGATGATAGAGACTATATGTAGAACCTTCTTGTGGACTGGCTCAACAGATTATTCCAGGAAAGCACTGATTGCGTGGTACAGAATATGTCAACCTAAAGCTACTGGTGGTTTGAATGTGATTAATATGAAGATATGGAACAAAGCAGCTTTATTAAAACATCTCTGGGCCTTGGCTATGAAGAAGGATACTTTGTGGATTAAATGGGCTCATATCTACTACATAAAAAACAGGCTTATTGAAGAGGTAAGCACACCCAAAACAGCAACATGGGTGGTGATGAAGATCATAGAGGCAAAGGATGAAGTACAGAAGCTGAGGTCAATTCATAACAATCTCATAAACACACTGGACAGCTTTGTGAAGCAAGGCAAATTTCAGATACATAAAGCTTATGTCCAATTGCAGCTTCAATTCCCCAAAGTAGATTGGAAGAGTATTCATCTACATGCACAGATTCATCCTAGGTTCAAGTTCCATATATGGTTGGCTATCCACCAAAGGATAGCAACTGTGGATAGACTTTCCAAGTTTGGTATTCAAGTTCAGTTAGAATGTGTATTCTATGCAAAGACTGTGGAAATATTTGATCACCTATACTTTGGTTGTCCAAGTACGAACAAGCTATGGGAAAGAGTATTGATATGAATGGGCAATGCGAGGCAGATAGGAAGCTGGCAGCATGAACTGAAATGGATAAGCAGTATGGCAAAGAGGAAAGATTGCAGGGCAGAAATGATCACAACATTGTTTGCAATGGTTGTCTACTGCATCTGGCGTGAAAGGAATTCGATGCGATTTAACAAAGGAAGATACAACATAGATGAACTTTGCAAGGAAATTGCAATACATATACACATACAAGGCAGAAAGAAGATCAAATGGCGAGCAGAATTGGAGAATTTAAAAAATATTCCTTAGTATAGAAACTTGTAATTAATGTCAGTATAGTATAGTTTTACTTTGTAATAGTGAATAGGAGATTAATGGTCAGCATTAATCTGGGAATGTAAAGACAGTTTTT